CTAGTAGGCCTTCGACACACTCAAAGCAGCCTTCAATTCTGCTCATGTCTTGATCCACGTTAATCCCTCACAACCTTTCTTCATCAAGGCGGACACCTTCGACTTTGCTATCAGTGTTGTGCTATCTCAACTTGGAGTGGATCAAGAATTTCATCCGGTCACTTTCCATTCTCAGAAATTCCAGCTTGTAGAGATCAATTATGAAATCCACGACAAGGAGCTCCTTACCATCATGGATTCCTTTGGAGAGTGGCGTCATTTCTTGGAGGGGGTGGGCCATCAAACAACGGTCTGGACGGATCACAAAAATTTTGAGTACTTTGCCATTTCCCGAGTTTTGAGCTGTCGTCTTGAGTTGGTTTGACTTTGTTATCAAGTACAGACCTGGAAAGCTTCAGGGCCTTCCTGATGCTCATTCAAGGCGCTCCTATCTCAGTCTCAAGCCTGGTAATCCTGCCTTTGATCAACAGGATCAAGTTATCCTCTGTTCTGATCGGCTTCAAGCTATGGCAATTTCCTTGGCCCCTCAGGACTCCTCCTTGATGGACGTGATCAGAAATGATCTTCAATCCGACGACCTTGCTAGTGACATTTTCCCCCATCTTCAGGCTGGACACCTAGTGACTCCTAACTGCCGGCGATTTGACGAGTTCGAGTTCTTAGATGGCTTGTTGTACCATGGGGAGCAGCTTTAAGTTCCTGAAGGTGATGCTCGAAGGTTGGTCCTAATGGCGTGCCACGATAGCCCGACTGCTGGTCACTTTGGCATTGCGAAAACCTATGAGCTGGTTGCACGGGACTTTTGGTGGCCTCACATGGATGACTACATCAAAGTTTTTGTTACCTCCTATGACACTTATGCCCGGAATAAAGTACCTCGCCACCTTCCTTCATGTTTGCTTCGTTCCCTCTCGGTCCCTTTAGGTCCTTGGGAATCCATTTCTATGAATTTCTTGAGTGATCTTCCGAGTTCTGGAGGCTTCAATAGCATTTTAGTCGTGGTGGATTGCTTCACAAAGATGGTGCATTTCCTGCCGTGTACCAAGGAGTTTTTGGGCGAGGACATGGCAAAACTGGTATTCAGGGAAATTTTCTGACTTTATGGGATTCCTGCATATGTGGTTTCGGATCGGGGACCTTAGTTCATATCTCATTTCTGGCAATGGTTCTTACAGCTGCTTGGAGTGAAGGCCAACCTCTTTTCGGCATATCATCCTCAAACTGATGGATAGTCCGAGCGAATGATTTAGACATTGGAACAATTCATGAGGTGCTTTATCAACTATCATTAGAATGACTGGTTCGATATCCTTCCCCTTGCTGAGTTCTTCTATAACAACTCTGTTCACTCCTCCCTTCGAGTTTCCCCCTTCTTTGCAAACTCTGGCTGATTCAATCTCTCACTTCCTTCTCCATCTAAATCCTCTCATTCAAATCCCCACTTTAAGGCATTTGTCTCCAACCTCCAAAAAATCCACAACTCCATCTCCTTCTACCTCCATCATGCTCAGGAATCTCATGAAACGTTTGCCAATGTCCATCGTCAGGATTGTCCCCCTTACAATATCGGGGATAAAGTCTGGTTCCATCTCCACCACCAGGCCATGTCCCAAACTCGATTTCAAATGCCTCGGTCCTTTCCCTATCATTGCCATCATTAATCCTGTCACTTATCGCTTTGCACTTCCCTCCTCATATCAAATTCACCCTGTTTTTCACTCCTCTCTCCTTGAGCCTTATATTCCCAGTTTTATTCCAAATCGGGTCATTCCTCTGCCTCCACTAGTGCAGCTCAAGGATGGGTCTGAGTACAAGGTTTAGGGCATCCTTGATTCCAAGATCTCATGGTTTAACTCTACTATCTGGTAGACTAGAAGGGTTACGGACCTGAGGAACGCACTTGGGAATCTGCGGACAACCTGATTCATTCTCCTAATCTTGTTCAGGACTTCCACCGTCGCTATCCTTCTCGTCCCAGTCCTCATTCTTTTCATTCTCCATCTCCCATCCTTCGACGCCCATCTCATCCTCCTCTTCATTCTTATTCATGTCCTCGTTCCACTCGTTCTTGAGGAGGGGGTGCTGTCAGAAATCCCCCAATTCTTGCCACATTCCTGACTCTCGCCAGATTCTTGATTTGTAGACCACATTCTTGACTTTCGAGACACTTCCCTATTCTTGACTCTCTGATTTCCTATATGATTCCTGATTCTCGAACCACATTCTTGATGATGACGTGGCACCTCCTTGACCTCAGCTATATTTAGGCCATCCTTGATCCAAGAGTGGTGGAGCTTCATCAACCTATAGTATATATAAGTTAGCTTTATTCCATTTTTCCACAATCTGAATCAATGCCAATCTAATGCCTTTTTTTCATCTCCACTAGTTTTTTTCTTTGTCTTCTGCATTTTTCAATCTTGATCTTGTTAGGGGTCTTGACAAGATGCTCATTTAATCAAGAGATTGATATATTCCTTTATGAGTTGGTCAATTACTACAACACAAAACCATAAGAGGGATGTGAAGAAAGAATAGAGGAACAAGATGAAAACATAGAAAAAAATAATGGAGTGATGGAAGAAAAGATAAAAGTATAAGGACAAAAAAGAACAAAAGTGAGAAGAATGGAAAAAATATAAAAAAGTATAAAATGAAAGAGAAAAACCTTAAAGTTATACTTGGCATAATTATGCCACAACTAATTCATATGATGAGTTTAAAAATTTGACTTGGCACCAGCTACAATGACTGCAACTCAAGTTAGATATCACCCATATACACAATTAGGTTAACCTCATCCCAATATATTTATGTGTATGGCCATTGTCATAAAGAATGAAAATTGGCTCTACCACCTGATGTAACATATGGCAATAGGTTGAGTAATAAAAGATAAACTTGAGTTTATATCAATTAGGATAAATGTAAATTTCTAGATTTGGACTTTTTAAGAAGTCACTCAACCCAATATTATTCAAACCCAAAGACGCTTAACCTTAAGTATCTTAAGACCTTTAACCGATTGGAAAAAAAAAATGCATTAACCCTTTCCTTCTATATTTAAACTTTTATAAATTTTATTTCAAATTATTCTCTTTAATTCTTTACATAATAGAAAACTTTTTATTATAAAAACAAGTTAAACACAAGGTTCACCCCTGGCAGCATGGAACCATACCTTAAGATGTACAACAAAATGGACAACTCCAACAGGATCTCCTTTGCTCGGCCTTAGAATCCATGCTCCCTGGAGAAGGAAAACAAAATCACCAGTGCTCTCTCGGCAAAAGAAAAAAAGCAGATAGATCTTACTTGGATTTCCTGGCAGTGTCCAAGAGTTCCTTTTCATTGCAGAGTCCACAAAAACCAGAAAGAAGTATGAAAACGAGGCAATTCATCGAAATTCTTTCACCAACATACTTCTCAATCTGTTTTCTAGCTTCTGGAGTTCCAGGGGAAGCATTCTCTAGCAATTCGGAGCCGCCAGGAAAGAATGATAGCCTCGAGCTCTATGGACCTGGGATTGTCTCGTCGCCAGCGCCATGACGCTGCCGCGGTAGCGAATCCAGTGCCTGGCCTGGGAGAAGAAGCCGCGCTCTCCTCCAGCAGGAAGGATCGACAATAGCCTCGCCCATATTGACCCTTTCAAACACCAAAAGCCCTCGAAATATTTCCAGCCTCCATGGTTTACCGATCGATCAATGCGATCTTGGAGTGCTGGAGCGGAGCTCGGTAGATCGGCCGCGCATTGCTGGATCCAGAGAGGTGAGCGCATTCTTCCTAGGGTTTTGGAGATGAGAAAGCGATCGATGCAAGAATCCAGCGAAGGGGAGGAGGAAGAGAAGCGGCTGCGCAGCTGCGTCGTGGATTATAGCTCTCTCACTCTATAGCGCGCTGCTAGGCCTAGAATCGAGCGCCGATCATCACCCGAAGCTCTACCATGCAAGATCAGCTCCACGAATTCCTGGACAAGACGGTGGAGATTATCCGCGTGGAGGAGGAGCCAGATCGTCCAGTGGCTGCTCCATCCCCGGAAGAAGACGATGGAATCCATCTCTTTGGGAAAGCTCCGGCTGGGATAACGATGCTAGAGAGAGTCAGGGATGGAGCATAGGGCTAGTAGCAAGCGCTACATTCACAATACAAGGGGCTGGTATTCTAGTGGCAAGAACTCGTTAGAGAATATAGTGATTGATAAGGCGAGAGAGAAGGCTCTGAGGATAGAATTTCTAGAAAGGAAGAAGTCATCACTAGAGAGAAGTCGAGGGTGGCGGCACTGAAACAAGTCAGGGGTGAGAAGTGGAATTGCTAGCTCAATTCCACGAAATCGTGCGTTCTCTCTCTCTTTTTTTTCGTTTGGTCTTCGTCTCAAAGAGATGAAGCCTTCTCAAAGGAGCAGCAGTCGAGTTCGCTAATGCCAGATATGGTTTTTCGCTTTTCTTGCAATGCTGGGAGAAACTTACATTGCTGGTTTGATTCAGAGTCTTTCTTTCGTATTCCTTGTGCTAGACACGACTTACAGGGTCTTGATGGGAACTTGCAGATTTTTATATATTAGCTTTAAGAACCCAGACCGAATCAATCAACCACTCTTTCAGATACAAAGACACGTTACTGCCACCAATCACTCCACACAATGGCTGTATGCCCCCCTTAACATTTTGCCGTTTCAGTGGGGAAAGCCGCCCACCACTAGGGAGTTGACCTGCAAAATAGTTGGAACCAAACGGTTCCAGATCCTTCACCGTATGAGGCAAAACTGCCAGTCGCAGTAGTCCATTTTTTGAAGCAAGATCTCTAAGCCTGTTCAAACCTCCATCTTTTTTCTTCCTGCATTTCATCAAATCCAAACTGTCCAAAGCACTTGAAATTTCACCTTGAGTAGCCGCATCATCCCCGGCATTCATCTGTAATAAGCAAGAAAGAAATGAGCCGCTGCTCCGACTCATAGTCATTAAAGAAGCAATCATGGATTATGTGAAAGACTTGCTGCAACGTTTTCACAAAGTGAGATTTATTGATGTGGTCCCTGAAAAACTTCCCAACAGAAGATCAAGGACACAGGGCAGAACTGTGAGTGGGCCGAAGACGAGCAGAGCACTTCACCCCCTTTTCCGTTTCTTCAAACCTTTCTTCACCTCTTCCACAGCATCCAGCAATTCCGTGTTGACGATCCCCCGAAGTTTCCGCCCAGCCCAAACAGCCGACAGAGGTGAAACCTGAAGGACAAAATAAACATGTCAAAAATCAAATGAAATATGCCTTACCAAGGGGATTTCTTTGCGCCCCGTTCTCGCTCGCCCACTCCGCCTCACATCTCCGAAGGCCACCTTTCCTTGGTGAGAAAAACCAACGCGTCTGGACGAAAGGCACCCCAGCCACCATCACCAGTCCAGAGAACCGTTGGAAGTGCGTCAGCCTGCCCTTCAACGTCGTCGAGATACTGCTCAAGTGTATAACAGTCGGAGCCATGGGTGTGACTTTTGCCGCACATCTTTGTCACAACTCCTGTTGCAACGCGTGCTTTCACCACCTTTGCCTTCTCAAAATATATTGCAGGAACTTCACAATTGTTGTTGCTCAGTTTCACAAAGCGATTCTGAAGAAAGCGAGACACAAAGTCTACAGGAGCCTTTCCGTCCAATGCGTCAATCATAAGCCCCGCCAGCCTTTCAGACTCAAGACCCACTGTCACTGTCACATCGCTGCCTTGGCCCTTAGCTTTAAACTGCCTGCTGCTGACAAAACTCATCAAAGACTGTTGGCCGATTACTAAAGTAATGGAAAAGAGCTCGAATGACAGCAGGTTCCTGGAGTTTGATCCAAGTGTCTCTGTCCTGCTTTGCAGAGAACTTATCCAAGTCCTCCAACGCAACACTGTCTCCCCTGCTTAGCCAGGCTAACCCGAACTCCACAAGGCTCAGAGATGGATTGTTGATGTTGAGTACAGTGGATATAGACCCAAACATCTGGTGACACAGTATCACCTTTAGCTCCTTGACCGCTGCAGCATTCCGAGTCCTTTCGAAAAACTGCTCCACATCCCTCAGAACCGTCTTATCCATGTAGACTTGCAATTCTGATTTGTTCGGTACACCCTCCTGAGAACGACTGATCTTACTCGAGGTGCACATCTTCTCAAAAAAGTCAATCAGGAATTCTGTTGCCTGCTCCAAGGGACGCTTGCTCCCAATGAAATGCTCAAGTGCTGTGACAAAAAACCTGTACCTCCCTTTGTACAAATCACAGACCCTCTGCATATCAATACCATCCACACTTCGGAGTAGTTTCCCAGCATAGAGCTTGAAGTCCTCAACAGTGGTGAATCCACCAAATCCATGAAAGACAATAACAGAAGCTCTTCTCTTCAAAGTGGCAGAGAAACCCCGTGCCACGGCTAGCATACTACCACCTGTGCCTGCATAGTAGAATTGTCGAAATCCACAATCTATGAGTGCCGGCACAAGAATGTCGAGAAATGATCTGCTGCTACAACCAAGAATCGCTGATGAAAAGCGCTTCTCCAACCAGCAATTTATTATTTGACACTCGTCGAATATAATCGGACCATCCCAATTCCCTTTTAGACGATCCAATACCCCCTGGAACTGACCTTCAATGCGTTCCAAGTCCTCCTCAGTCCGTATCAAGTTTAAAAGTCTAATGGTGAGCGCCTTGAACGGATCTTTGAAGCCATAGAAATGCTGGAGTGCAACCTGCTTGAAGAGCCATGCCTGACCTGTCAAATAGCCCATTTTCTCCACCTGCCCCAGCAAATAAAACCTGCTGATGAGCAAAGCTTTGAGGCAGATTGCAGCACTAACTTCTGGAATGTCTCCAGTTGGATACAGCTCCAGCAACTTTGATGTCACTAACTTGAGATCTCCTGAACCTTCAGCTCCAGTACCAGTCTCAGAGACCCCCACAAAGAAGAGCCCACGCTGGGCTACAGCGATCTCATATAATGTCCTGGTCTTCCCCGATCCCGACACGTTGAAGAGACGGCCGCGCTTTGTTAGTTACCTCTATGATACGCTTGGATGCTTCGAAAGGCTGGTCTAGTGCATGCCACAAGAGGCGGGGGCATTCATCTGTAGGATCTTTTGGCAGTGGGACTTTACACGTTGGGAAATCCGCCAGAAACGCATCCGCCTTGGGATATTCACGATTTGGCTTGCACAACTCATGCCAAAACCTATCCAAGAGACTATCTATATTTGCCACAGTCCCAACCGCTTTGACTGGTTCTGCAAGAAAAAACAACGCAAGTCAAAAGATCCTTCAAGAGATCTAAAAGGGAAATACAAACAATGAGAGCCCACATCCACAAAGGCTTACCCTCGGACTCCAGTAAGAGATCCCGCAGCTGCTTCTTCTCCTCGCGCAGCTGCTCTTTCTCCTTGCGCAGCTGTTTCTCCTTCTCGACCAGCCACTTCCCCTTCTGGAACAGCCGCTTCTCCTTCTCAGGATCATTTGGTTGCTCGAGTTGCCCCTCAACCGCACTGATTTGGCCCTCAACCGCACTAATTTGGCCCTCAACCACAGCAATCTGCCGTTCAACTTCCCCGATTTCCCTTGACAAGCCAGAAACCGGATCATCCACCTCCATAAAGCCCTAGTACCAATTCACCATGGTGGCATATTCTTAAGCACCATTGAGGTATATTCTTAACACTATTGTGGCATATTCGTCTGCCACCGAAACCCTAGCAATTGATTGAGTAGATGAAAAAATTTTAAAAGAAATTTTCTTGTTTCAAATTTACCATTCATAAAATATATTTTAATTACAATTCAATATCACACTTTATAAAATGAAGTGCTATGAAAAAAGTAATCAACCATAGGCAATTGATCCCAAAAATGTAAAGTTTAATATTTTAAGCTCTAGAAAAATCACAACATATTTAAAGAAAATTGCACCATTTTTTGGGGTTAAATCAACTAAAACTGAGTATTGTTAACAAGTCTATTCGCAATAGTTTTAATTGAATAATATCAATATCTATGTTTCACCAAATATTTAAAAATTCTTTAAACAAATTTATCATGTATTTTCTTATAATAAAAGAGGCCAGATTACTATTTTAATCCTTTTTAGCTATACTATCTTTTTTATTGAATCCATCAATTCTCACTCTCTTTATTGTTATTAGTATGGTGAATATTGTTAGATCCACAATATGACAGCTATAACACTATAAAAATATAATAAAGACATTATAAAAAATACATTTAACAGTTTAAAGCATGTAATTAAAATGTTGTAGCCAAAAAAAATTTCTTCATTAAAATTGAATACATCTATATTTAAATAATTGAAAGGTTGTATTTTTATAAAAAAAAAATTCTTGTAGTGTTATGTTCTAAAGCTTTATTTTATAAATGTGAGGATATAAATACTTCATCAATGGAGGTTAGGTTTAGACCTAAGTTAAATGCAGAATTTTATGGGGGGTTCAAATGTATAATAAGAATAATAGGTAAGTTAGATATGGCCAACTAATTTGAGGACTCCTTCATTTATATATTTATCTTTGTTCTGCATGTAAGTTGAGTTTAATCTTAAACTTCATACCATGCTAATTGGTGGAATATTCATGTCCTTGTGTTTACCGAAATAACATTAAACTTTGTTTGGCTTTGTTTTGTGTAATAGTCTTGGAATTAAAAATGTTAAATGCTTTAAGACTATTCAAATGTCATTTCGTACATTTGTCCCTTTGCTCCTTATATGCTCTAATTGTTTCACTCTTTGGGAATTCCTTTTGTTCAGTGGTGCCAGACATAAAAACTTAGATTATGGCCTACGTGTCCAAAGGTTAAGGTTTTACTCCATGGTTATCCTGTAATAAATCATTATAAGATAAAAGGTGAAAACCATATTAAGTATTTATTTTTGCTTCAATTTACTCATAATAGCACTCAAATATAGCTATGAGTCTCCCAATAGATTTGAGTTTGACTTTAGTTTGGGTGCTTTATATTTGTGATTTTCTTCGCAAGATAAATTTGAGTTGGCAAAGTTAACCATGAGACAAAATTAAGAATGAAACAAGGGACTGGCTAATAAGTATTATAATCATCAGAAGTACAAAATTGGTGACAAGCTTTTTCTTAAATTATTCAATGAACTAAAGTCTTTGAAAATAAGTGGCAATGCTCACATGGCTAAAGAACTTATTTGGCTCAGAGCCTTACTTGTAGAGGTTGGCCTTCCTCAGCAAGGTCCAACAAGGCTGTGGTGTGATAACCAAAGCTGTATAGCTCTGTCTGCCAACCCTCACTACCATTGCCACCCAAGCACTTTGACACTCATCATCACTTTGTTCATTAGAAGACTGAAGAGGAGATCCTCAAGCTGGTGTACTGTGCTACAGGAGAGATGGTTGCCAATATCTTCACCAAGCCCTTGGCTCGTGATCGTTTTTTAGCATCTACAGAATCTTGGTCTCTACTTGTTGATTGAGATGCCTCAGACTGTGATTGTGCCTCTTGAGATCATGAGCGATAAGATGCCCAAAGCTCTTGGCATTTCCCTATTGCTGGCATATCCTTGAATCAACGAGTTCCACGACACTGTATCCTGTTGGTCATCCCATCAAAGACCTGCTGCGAACACCATGCTGCCATATAAACCAGACCACTCGCCATGTAAAGAGTGGTGATCACTCTAAACTGGATTATCATGAATGATTTTCCAACCTTGGCTCTACTACATGCCTTGAGTGTTCCCAGAATCACAGCACTCACTCGTAGCTTTTTCTTTCATAGACAAATTCCTGGATCGTCTTAAAGATTCACCACCCAGGTTTTTGGGCTCTTTTCAGCTGCTAGACAACACAAAAACGTACTCATGCCTTACCAGAGAAAGTGGAAGGATTGTGTTTGATGCTTGCGTTTGAAGGTCTCTCTGGTAGATTTCTACAGCAAGTGTGGAGGACACATTCGATATGACTCCATCCAATCACGAACTTGACACTGTGGAGTGCTCTCATGGGCTATGGTTGGAGACATGAACCAAGTACTTGTGTTCCAGACTCTCTCAGAGACAGGCTTGCAGCTGAATGGAGCGACATTCCACTTGTAACCATGCTAGGCTGGTCGACCAACGGTCGGCAACAGTGCAATCAACTTAACTGGCGTGTGCCTGCCTGTTAAGGCTTGTTCCATCTATGTTATCAAGAGGACATCTCTACATGGTTGTCCCAGCAAATCCACTAAGAACACTTCCCTCCCCTTGATCTAGATTAGTCATTATTGAGAATTTTACTGCAACAGAGAATATTATGGCTTTGTATGTGTCATTTAACTAACTTTAAGAATGGTCATAAGGGATGTGACCGCAGGAACAAGCTCGCCATGCTTGCACCCGACTCTCCATGTTCCTGGGGGTAACAAGCTTACACAGCCCTTCAACTATCTCTTCAAAACATGGTTGAAAAGAGTTGATTAATTTACCGCAATTAGATGATCCTGGCTGCCTACATTGACTGTTTGGGAGTCATTCTCCTAAGGTGGCTACCATGGCTACAGTGGGAGGAGCGATTCAAACACATTTGAGAGTGCACTTATTACCGAGTTCAAGCTCTCATGAACTACCCAATGGCAATCTTCCTCTTGAAAATCACCAAATACCGCAAACCAAAACAAATATTAGACAAATATGTAAAAGGCTATTCTATTCTATTTGATTGCAGCCTAAAAAATCAAAACAAAATATAATGAAACTTTGTTCTTCCAAAAAAAAGAAAAGAATGTCTCCAAGTTCTGTATGAGAACGTCACTTCAGAAAGCTTTCAAGCTGGTTTATGCTTGCATTTTGAGTGGCTGAAAATGCAAATCTTTGAGATTCTATACAGTTAAAAAAGGTCACCGAAATTTTATTGGTCTCTTAGTAGTGTGGAGGAGGAAAATATCTGTTCATATTGAGAGGCAGCTTGTAGAATTCTTCATTTGTTGGATGATCCCACTTGTGATACTTCTTCCACCACCCCATTCCCCGATCCTTCTTATGCGCTTTCAAGGTGCTGTCCAGGAGCACAGCCAGCACAAATCCCACCAGAACGTTTGAAGAAAATAAGGTGTTGAGTATGTCGTTAAACTGTCCAAGCGCGAAACAAACGTTTTAGACGAGTTAAAACAGTGACAAGAAAAATTACCCATTCCGCATTTGTGTTAACTGGGCCATGGTTGCTGGCCGATCTGAACTCGTAGAAGTACTGTGGGACGGAGAATCCCATGAACAGGGCGAAGCCGAGGATAAAAAGATTCCGGGTGATGTTCAAGTTGACAAACTGCAAATACGAAATCCCAACAGCAGCTGCCACGAGTAAAAGGAAAAGAAGACAAGAAGCATTTGAGAAAAAAAAAAAAAAAAATGGCTTGCAAGATGTCTATATCTCACCTAAGACCGCAAACGTCACACAGTAGATAGCAGCGACAATCGATTGTGGTATGGAAGCTATCACTGCCCCAAATTTACCTGCAGGTGGAGAATGTGAGCATCCAGATACGACTTTGCAAGCGTGCTTACCTAAGATCGAAAAGACCAGCATAAAAATCGCCGCGATTTGCACCGTGCGACGACTACCAACACGGGTAATTCCAACGAGACCCGCATTTTCTCTGCGGACAGAACAAGACCAAGTCACCGTGTGATCTAGAATGTGGTCTAAGAAAATCCTTACGGTGATATAGTTGGTCCTACCACGGTTCCAAACAAGCCGTTCAGAAGCGTCCCGAATCCCTGTTTGTGTTGAGAAAGAAGTTAGCCATAAAAATGCACTGGACTGAATACTAAATGTCTTACCAACCATCCAATTCCACGACCAACAACAAAAGGAGGAGGCGGGGTGGCGTTCGCGAGCCGTGAGACAGCATAAATGGCTGCAGTTGACTGAAGTAAAAGAAAACGCTACGGTCTCAGCACCAAAACTCGATAGAAAAAAAGCACACCTCAATCTGAGCAACGAGGGCGGAAGCCATCATGGCGAATGTATAGCCCCCATCAAATGTAGGAGCGCCCCATTCCAACGGATATGGAAGTCTTATCCTGTATAACAATTCATGTTTCATCAGCCTGTTTGCGAAGAACAGTATAAATGTCTACGTACCAGGGAGAAGATCCAACTAGATGAGCACGATCCGTGCGGCAATGGTCTTTTCCTTTCTCTGTCGCGGCTCTATATGCTCCACTTACTGTCAAAATATATGCATAGGCCCATGATATTATTACTGTCACGATAATCGGGAAGCGCTCAAAAACTGGTAGCTTCTTTCTTGACAAAGCTTTAAAATACTGCCAGAGCCCACAACACTTCAGACGTTCACTACGAAGTTAACGACAGCTTACCTGAGAAAAGAGGAGAAGAATGATCAACGCTGGCAGTCCGATTTCTACACACTTGGCTATCTGCAGAAAAGCCACAATATATAATCAACTAGATTTTGAAGAAAGCACGTACTCCTGGAAAGCCATACTCATAAAAGCCGAGACCAAGCAAAATAATTGCAGGCGCATAAGTTGTAGGAGAAATGTACCTGTAACAAACATAAGTCTGTATAGCACACGAAGACCCAAGCACTCACTTCAACATGATCCCCCATAGACCACTAAATCCTAAAATTATCTGTAAGATAGAGGAAAGAATGACTGCACCCTGAACTGCCCTGATCGTGTGAACAAATCTCTGGAAAGAACAACCCTTCAGAATCAACGAATCCGAGGGCACATTTTCTTCCACTTACATCGTGATCGTAGTATATCGATCGTAGCCTTGGCGAGTTGGTAATCGATGTTATGGGAATAATATACGCAAAGGAACCACCTACAACGACGGGCAACCTTGTTCCAACAAACGTTTGGATCAAAGTGTTTATCCCCGAAGCAAACAGCAATGTCTGATACACCCGAGCCTTTTGTTCCTGCATCGATTTGATACAATAGTCGTGAGTAATCAAACGAACCCCATTGCAATGCCAAGACATGGCCATGGCTTACGTTGGTAGCGCCCATATTGCCCACCAATAGGCTTGGAATGAGCACCGTGGTTCCTATCATTGTTAGAAAATGTTGGAATCCAAGGAGGATAGTTTGAGCTGCAAGAAACAGCATCACAATCAGAGAAGAGCTCTTAAGGTTGAAGAGAGAGAGGAGGAATGGAGCTTACGCCATGGCGGGCTATCGTTCGGGCAGTAGTCGATTTCTGGCAGCTGTTCCTGGATTTTATGCTGATGATCCTCTGACATGGCTGGAAAAATCCCTTGGAAGGAGCGCGCTTGTTGATTAGGTCCTCGTGCCTGCTAGAGCCCTGAATTCCAATGACAATGCCGCCACGGGCGAGCGCTGCCAAAGATCCAGCAATGCGCCGAGAAATCTCGTCCAGCGGCTGCCAAAACCCTGCGCCTGGAGCGAGACAGAGCGATATTTCATCCAAATTTCGATGGCGCTAGATCGCTAGATCGCTTGCCGAGCTGCCGGAGCGAGATCTGACCTGCGATTCATGCTGCCGCCGCGATGGCGCTAGTCCCCAGCCCTTGCGCCCTTGCGCGCCCCTCTCACGCCCTCTTGCTTGGGAAGAAATTCATCCCCTCCCCTCCCCGGGATTGAAACAAACACACAAAAATGTCACCAGTCACTATTGCGCTCTACGTACGGAAAGATTCGCGAAGCATATGCGCACTATCGCTATACTGTAGCCTACGCAAAAGTAGTCGTTGGTGGACTATACGAAGAACGTATGGCGGCATTACAATAGGGCTTGCTACGGTGAGATTTATATATCGAGCTGCTGACGTGTCGTGCGGATCTTTTAAAATAAAGTTGATCGTGCTGACCGTGCTGCCCCGGTTTCGCTGGGCAGCAAAGTGGCACATCCGGGCAGAACGGGTAGTGCCACGACGGAGCCACTTGGGCGATGAGCTGGAGGTGGGCCCCACGTCGGATGCTGACGCTGCTTTTCTTGACTGGGAGTATGTGAAAGGAAGGTCTGATGGGAGGGCGATGGTTGTAGCAGCCGCATCACAAGGGAAAAAAAAAGAATACGCTGATTATACAAAGCGGCTGTAATTTGTTGGTGCATTGGCAATTTTCTAAACCGCCATCTTTGTCCATTTCAAATCAAACCAAGGTGTTAGACGAAGATCTCTGTGAGGGTTACATCACCTTTGTAATCTATTCTATTACTTTTTACGATTTTCTATGGTCTAAAATACGGCAGCTTTGCATTGTTTTTACCATGACGTACAAAATGCCTCGTGCAGTTTGATAAAAACTCTCAATTGCGTTCTTATCTCCGTAGGTACTACTGCGATCCAAAAATATTCCGATACACGGCCGGAAAGTTCTGGAACATAACACCAAAAGCTACAAGTAAAAACTCTTTCTTTTTTACATTGTTTATACATTTTTGGGGATTTTTTAAATTACCCCCCTCCACTATGGTACTGTCTGCTGTGTGGACCATCTTTGTCCTTACTTTTTTGTCACTGCTTGCTTGGGCTTTCCAGCTTTAAGCTTACCAAATGCACAAACAAACGTTCCTCTTCGCATACATAAAAAGAAATCGATTTGAAGCTGGAAGCTTTAGCGAGGTGTTATGATCGAGAACTCACAGATACGATCGAGAAACATGACAACCAGTCCGTACAAAGTCCCCCTGTCACCGCCGTACAAAGCCCCCTGGGCATTTGTGTCATGGCCCAAGCTACCAGTCAGGAACACAGTCCAGACACTTAGCTTTGTGTTGACATTGTTGTGCTCTTAGCACCTACCTAGGGAATCAAAAAATAAAAGCACAAAACCATATAAACAATATAGAAGAAATATCGATCATCTCATAACATTGTTTTCAGAACTTTTTGCAAGCTTTGTTTCTCCTCCTCTATTTAACAAAAATTTGACACCATAGGAATCTGTGAAGCTTTCCCACTCGCACGGCTTATAGAAAAGAAGGAAAGACGAGAAAACGAAGGAAAGCCATACTTATCTCTCGCGTGTTTGCTTTGCGTTGCGTGTGTGTGTTGAGTCTCTAGCTGGTGTCAGTAAAATCGGCATCGATAACTTCGTCTCCACCGGAGCCTTTGGACGAGGACGAAGAGGAAGGCCCACTGGAACCCGGAGGTGGCCCGCCGGGGCTTGGACCACCTGGAGCTCCCGGTTGGCTGTACAAGGACTGGCCGATTTGCATCACTTCCTGGTTCAAGTCGGCGGTGGCATCCTTGATCTTTTGCGTGTTGTCACTGGCGATGGCGTCCTTGAGCGCTTTCACCTTGTCTTCCACCTTGCCTTTGACGTCGGCCGGGACTTTGTCGCCCAGCTCCTTGAGTTGCTTCTCGGTTTGATACACCAGCGAGTCGGCCTGGTTCTTCACGTCCACTGCCTCTCTCTTCTCCTTGTCCTCCTTGCTGAACTTCTCGGCCTCGTTCACCATTCTCTCCACCTGCGTGTATTCGTATTCGCGTTAGAAACCAAGATCTGGCAAGAGAAAAACTTGTGTTTTTACCTCGTCTTGTGGAAGAGTACTGGCGCCAGTGATCGTAATGTCTTGCTTCTTGCCGGTTCCTTTGTCAGTCGCACTTACTGACAAGATGCCGTTCGCGTCGATGTCGAACCGCACCTCGATCTGCGGCACGCCTCTTGGAGCCGGAGGAATGCCCTCCAGCCTGAAGCTTCCCAGGGACTTGTTGTCCCTGACAAACTCCCTTTCGCCCTGGAGAACATTGATTTCCACGCTCGTTTGACTGTCGGCGGCAGTGGAGAACACCTCGGACTTTGACGTTGGAAGAGTGGTGTTTCGGGGGATGATCTTCGTCATAACGCCTCCGAGCGTTTCCAAGCCCAATGACAGAGGAGTCACGTCCAGTAACACTAGATCACTGACTTCTCCAGCCAGAACACCGGCCTGAAATTAAAATACTCAGTAAAGTACCAAGACCAATTACCGGAACTTTTACCTGAACAGCAGCTCCTAATGCAACAACCTCATCGGGATTGACAGTCAAGTTTGGGGCCCTGCCAGTCATTCTCTTTACGATCTCTTGAACAGCTGGAATACGAGTAGAACCGCCGACAAGAATAACTTCATTAATGTCCTTGAATGTCAGCTTTGCGTCTCTCAAAGCATTTTCCACTGGCGTGCGGCACCTGGGAGCAAGAAAAGTACACGATATTGAATGTGCAAACGTAACTCAAAGACAAAAAGAGACTACCTGTCCAGCAAATCTGAACACAATTCCTCAAACTTAGCCCGAGTCATAGTTGCGTCAATATGCTTCGGCCCATCCGCAGTCGCCGTGATGAAAGGCAAGCTGGTCCAAGACAAATTCTGTGAGACAAGGACGACTAGAGAAAACAGAGCGCATTACCTTATGCTTGTTTGTGTAAGTGATGACAGCTCAATTTTTGTCTTCTCAGCGGTCTCCGTCAGCCTTTGAAGCGCCTGCTTATCCTTCAATAGATCAATACCTTCCTCCTTTTTGAAATTTGCTGCGAGATAATCGACAACCCTCTGCTCAAGCAGCAAGTAAACTTTAGCTTCAGCTTTACAACAGACTCTACAAAACCGACCTTGTCAAAATCGTCTCCACCCAAGTGTGTATCACCAGATGTTGATAACACTTCGAACACACCATCGCCGACTTCCAAAACTGAAGAGAAAAGATTCCAGAGTTAAGAACCAACACTTGATCAGTAATAGACCTCTCACCTGAAACATCGAATGTTCCACCGCCCAAATCAAAGACGAGAATTGTCTCATTACTCTTCCTCTCAAACCCGTAAGCAAGAGATGCCGCGGTTGGTTCGTTGATGATACGAAGCACGTCAAGACCAGCTATTCTTCCAGCATCTTTCGTGGCAGTTCTCTGGGAATCATTGAAGTAAGCAGGAACAGTGATGACAGCCTTGTTCACTTTGTCGTTCAAAAACTTGGAAGCGTCGTCGACCAGCTTTCTCAAAACCTGCCAAACAAGAGAAAGAACAAACGTATCACACAACGTTAACAGCAGACCAAAGAGAAGAACAGTTTACTCACCTGAGCTGAAATCTCCTCGGCAGCAAATTGCTTTCCAATCGCAGGGCAATTGAGCTTCACGTTTCCATTCTCATCTCTGATAACAGTGTACGCAACCTGCTTGGACTCCTCGTCCACCTCGGACATCTTTCTCCCGATAAATCTCTTCACGGAGAAGAATGTGTTCTCGGGATTTACCACTGCCTGGCGCTTGGCAATCTGACCCACAAGCCTGTCGCCATTCTTCGTGTAGGCAACAACAGAAGGTGTGGTTCTCTGCCCCTCCGCATTTGTGATTATGGTGGGCTTCCCACCCTCCATAGCCGCCACAGCCGAATTCGTGGTTCCCAGGTCAATGCCCACCACTTTCTCGCTCACGACCCTCAAAGGACCCCCCACTCTGCCGCCGCGATGCGCCTGGCGCCTCATTCGCGCATACAAACTCCCGGAGAAACTCCGTCCCTGGAGATTGCTACCTAGAAACACACTCCTCTGCTTACTGTAGGCGCCATTCTTCGATTCGGAGGAGGAGCACACCGTCGACACCGCGGAGCAAGCACTGACGTGCGTCGCCGCTGCCATCGCTCTCTCGCTTCCTTCCTTGGCCAAAATCCCTAGCCCTAGAGCCCGATAATGCTGTGCTACTATAAAGACCTTGTATTCTAGAGACTTCCGGGCTAGCGCTGGAACATCCCAACCGACCGATTGGGTGGCTGAGAGAGCGCCACCGTGTCACCGCCTAAAACCCACAAAACCCCTCACACCACTATACCAGAGTTTTTGTTCGTAAATTTTTGTTTTTTTTCTCTCCGAGTTACAACAATCCAGCAAGCTTCCGGGCAAACTCGTCCTCGTCAGCATGCATGGCAGCATCTGCGCCGTTGATCTCCATGCCCGTCACGTTCTCACCGTCCTCGCCCTCCTCACCGCCACCGTCACCTTCACCGCCACCGTCACCCTCACCGCCACCATCACCGTCACCGCCATGAGCGCCGCTGCTCGATCCATTACATAGCTTCCTACGAACACCGCCACCACCTTGGCCGCTCGGCTTTCTCTTGGCCGTGAATGCCGAGCCGGGCTCTTCCGAATCCTCGTTCTTGCGCTTCTCCTCTTTGATCTGAGCCAGGCTCTTCGGCCCTGCGAAATCCTCCGCCACCACTTCGCTGCTGTCACCGCCATCGGACCCTCTGCTCGCGTTTGACTCCCTCCTCTTCCTGTCCATCTCACCGCTCGACGAGCTCGACTTCCGGCTGTGCTTCTCCGCCTTCCTTTGCGGGGGTGAGGCCTCCGAGGATTGTGCCGCTGGTTGCTTCTGCGCCGCGGGGCTGTCCGATAGCTTCCACGTAAAGCTCTCCTTGTGTGGCTTGCCGGTCCTGTTGGCGGATTGATCGTTGTTCAAGTCCTCGGACGATTCCCTGGAAGGTCCTGCTGCTGCTGGTGCTGCTAGTTTCCCTTTCCTCGGACCATCCTGGAGGCGGTAGACATTGTCTTTCCTCTTGTCAGGAGTTTGCGATCCTGTGCTACCCTGCTGCTGCAGTTGAGTGGCTTCCGCAGTCGATGGCTCCACTTTGGGCTTGCTGGAATCCTGTGTTGCTGGTTTGGAGGAATCGGAGAGCCTGTACACCATCGCATTTGATGCCGGACCCTCGTGAAGAAACTGGCATTTGGCTCCCTTGGCACAGCAGCCCTGGGAGAAGAAGAAGCACGGGACGGGTTTCTTTGGCACGGGTGGTGTTGGTGGCGGAGCAGCTGCTGCTGGGCGACTCTCTATAGGCTGTACGAGAAAATGAAGAACGGAATCATTAGCAAACAAAGAGAGAAGACCGAAAAAAAAAAAGAAACAAAAAAGAAACAAAGAGCAGAGCAGCTTCTACTTCGATCAATCTAGCATCATAGCAAACAAAAAAGAAAAAATTCCTAAGTACGCGAAAGATGAGTGGAAAACATACCGGATGGCGAAATGGACACTCCCTGTTGCGGCAATTCCCGCCCACCCAATACCAGCAATCTCTGGGATTCAGCCTGGCGCTCTCGCTGTGCCGAAATTCACACTCATCGCCCTGTAGACAAACAAAGAAAATGCCGATGAACAAGAACCACCAGGATCACCAAAGAAGAAAGATAAAACATACCTTCTTGCATGTAAGAGGCGATGCCAGGAAATAGACGCAATCGGTGTTCTTCTTCTTGGCGATCTCCTCCTCGGAGGTGTGCGGCGGCGGCGCGGAAGGGGGACCGACTGTCGTGACCGCGACTGTGGCAGTAGTCGCCATTTCCCCGGGAAGCCCTATCCTAGGGTTTGCAGGCGCGCGCTCGCGTTCTTGGCGCGTTATAGGGTTCTAATCCTGCGAGGGAGAGAAGACTTCAGATTATCGCTCACCACAGCTGCGCGGCGCCTTGATTCCTAGAGGATAGCAATGCCAAACCTGCCGCTCAAGTAGATCATCCAATCTTCGAGGCGCGAGCTCCAGGAGATTCGTGGCGGAGCCGCTAACCCTACGTCGAGCTCTCACACCATAGCCGCACTCGCCATTGCGTTATATAGGGTACTGCCGCTAGTTATATACCACGGTACATTCTGCCAGACATTCTGTTAAATTGGCATATTCCGGCTTTCGCCTGAGAGATTCCGCTTGGGGTTTAACGCGAAGATGGAGGTTTGCAAAGCCCTAGTGCTTCCCGCTATGGCGGAGGAGCGGGCGGAGCTCTTCCTGGATGAATCTAGGTTTGCGCAGAGCCTCCGGCTGCAAGCATTGCGCGTTCCAAAGCGGCTGTGCGGTCAGGTGTCGAAATTGCTCGCCGGGTGAGTGAATCCGATGCGTATTCTCGAGATTGTGAAGGGATCTCTCGTTTCGTCAGCTATGTCATCGACAAGCCGCGCGTGAAGCACATCGTCAATGATCCAGCTGATGCGGAGTCTCGGCTAGTCATTTTCTCAGAATCGGTGAAAGATCCAAGTGAGTAGTCTCACATTTCTATTGCTTGCTTAGTTTCTCCTTCTTTCTTGCTCTGGTAAAGGAAGGCTTGCACGAAATTCCCGATGAGAAGTTAAACGCTCTTAAAGATCTTGTCGATCTCGACGTGACTCCGCATGAGATTCTACTAAGTTACGAGCATTGGTCCGCAGGTACGCTGTTATCCTTTTCTCTTCATGGCTTTTCTCTGACAGAGACTTCACAGATCACGTTTTAAGAGAGATTCTTCCAAAAACTTGTGAGGTGCCGAGTAGTTTCGAGACAATTGGTATTTTCTTTCTTTCTACTTTTTTTTCACGTTGACAGTGAAGCTTTCAGGACATATTGCACATCTTAACCTCCGAGATGAGCATCTCCCTTACAAAAAACTGATTGGCAAGGTTCTACTTGACGTAAGTTTTGATATATTTCACCAAAGCCACGTCCCGAGGCATGTTTGCTTTGCAGAAGAATCCAAAGCTGAAAACTGTGCTTAACAAAGTTGGCACTATCAAGAACGAGTTCCGTGTTCCGAGCTTTGAGCTTTTGGCCGGAGAGGACAATATGGTTACAGAGGTGAAGCAGTACGGTGCCATTTTCCACCTGAATTACGGCCTCGTTTACTGGAACTCAAGGCTTGAACACGAGCACAAGCGGCTTGTGTCCGAGTTTCAGCCTGGCCAGGTGATCTGTGATATGTTCGCAGGGGTCGGGCCCTTTGCCATACCAGCTGCACAGAAGGGATGCTTGGTCTATGCGAACGATCTCAATCCTGCAAGTGTGGAATACCTTCTCAAAAATGCCGACGTTAACAAGGTCGGCAACAGGATCGTCGCTTACAATATGGACGCTCGAGAATTTATGAAGGAACTGGTGAATCCAACAACAGCAATGGCCCATGCTCTGAACAAAGCTGACAAGGGAAACACACCAAGGGACGGTGTTTCAGATAGACAAGACTCAGGTAAGAAGTCTTTACTACCGAGTTTATCCTCAATGCATCGTGTTCGTCTATTGCAGATACGCTTAAGGCTAAAGTTAAAAGAAAGCAAACAAATGCGGTGCATTCAGACGTAGTTGAAGCTAAGCCATGGGAGCACTTTGATCACGTTGTGATGAACTTGCCGGCCTCAGCTTTAACGTTCCTAGGTAATCATCTAGCGATGTTTTCTTTCCCGTGCTCACAGTCGTACAGACACCTTCAGAGGTTTGCTTTCAAAGGATTCCTGGAAAGGCTCGATGCCGTGTGTCCACTGCTACTGCTTTTTGAGAGCCAAACAAACAACTGCTGACATTATGAATGTTCGTAATTCTTGTCTTTTGTTCTTTATATCTGGCTTGATCTTTTCCAGATTGCTGAAAACACTATCGGAGGATCTTTACCTGGAGCATCGATTTGGACAGTGCGTTTGGTTGCACCAAACAAGGTAAACTCTTGCTCATGGTGTGGTCTTTCTGAGAATTAAATACTTGTTATTTCTGCAGACCATGCTTTGTCTAAGTTTTATGCTGCCGGAGTCCATTGCGTTTGGTCAAGCAGACTCTGATGTCTCACAGACAGAAGAGTCCGGCATGAAGCGGCCGCGGACCGTGTAACCTCTCTTACTAGAACGAACACAATCAACTTTTGACGCGAATGAAAGCTGGCAACGCAGCGGTGCTGACAAACTTGTTTCGTTTCTTTAGAAATTTTGATGCAGGCGACGGTGCATGTGGCCACGGCTGCTGTTGACTGTGAGCATCAAGAAGTTGCTAAGCAATACGGTTTGTCAGTAGAAGGCTGCCTCTCCTTTAAAATACAGGCAAGTTACTCTTGAATATTCGACTTTGTCGTGGACTTATTCTGAATCGAGACGTTTGTGGCAGTGCTACTACAAAGCAGTTGGCGGTGGAGAAGCTTGACTCCGCACAAAAAAAAAATTCGCAGTTCCTTTCGCCGTCAGAAGTGTGAATAAATACGTGTATCTTTGGATCGGGTAAGCATTGCCTTGGGGCAGAAGTTTCGCATCGCCGGTGTACTGAGAGTTTCTTGCTGCAGGATTCTTGAGAAATGGTAGCAATGGAATCTGTGCAGACTGTCGTGCAAGTGCCTCTCAAACGTCTATGGGCAGCAATGAAAGACAGCAGCGTGCTGCTGCCAAAGGTGATGCCGGAGGTCTTCGCTACAGTCGAAAGCCTGGAGGGGGACGGGTCGGCAGGCAGCGTAAGGATCCTCAACTTTGGACCAGGTAAAGAAAAGAAAAGAAAGAAAGCTCGTTTCAAATGCGTTTTTTGATCCTGTTAGTGCTTTCATACCAGCCGTGCCAATGGTGAAGTTTATCAAGGAGAGAGTGGAGTCCGTGGACGAGGCAAACTACACCACGGTCACCTCCGTCATCGATGGAGGATTCATCGGCATCGTTTTCAGCCTGTACCGCGTCACAGTCTCGTATGAACCGAGCGGCGATGGCTCCAGCACGACCATCACCTGGAGGCTCGAGTACGAGCCCCTTGTGGAGAGCCCGTCCTTGGAGGAGTCGAAGATGGGAGCGCTGGGGACATTCCACGCGATCGAGGCATACTTGCTGTCACACAATGAGGAATACAACAGTGGCGTGGAGGAGGCTCAGCTCGGCGAGACGACACAGCTCCACGCATGAAAGATGCGAGTGTGCTCAGGTATGATTTCCATTTCTCTCGGGTTTGCGAGAGCAGTGATAGCGAGAGTGCCCGAGATGGAGACAGTCCCTACAGGGAAAGAGAGAGAGAGAGAGTGTGTGTGTGTTTTGCTAAACTCAAAGCTAATTCCTTGTTCTTGATGCACAGAGGGCTTGGAGGTTCGCGAAAATGAAAGAAACTGTGAGTAAGGGGGTACGTTTGTTTTCGTTTTTTTTTTTCCAAGGATTAGTTGATACGCATTCACAGGTAAGCTTGTATGATGACACCAAAATGATGTCATTGTGGTACCCTCTAGAGCATGACAAGAATGATATCTCCTCTCTGCGTGAGAATATATTCTGGTAGCTTTTGCTCTTTTATCTTCTATTCACTTTGCTTTGCTTTTCCAGATATGTCTAGTACATATTTATTTCGTAAGTGCCTGCCATTTGTGTTACATTTTGCTTTATTCGCCGAATTAACAAATGGTTTGACTTCGAACAGGACGTTTTCTGGTGGTTTTTAGGAATCAAAAACATTGTTTTTCTTTTTCGGTGTTGGACAGAAAGAAATCTCAGATTCCTCCCCAAGAGAAGGCGGCAATGAGAAACTCCAGCACGGGCGGAATTCCTCTGGCAGCACAAGCGCAAGCGAGCGATCTCCAGCCATCATGAAGAAAGAAGAAAAACCAAACATTTTTATTTCTGTTTAACTTTGACTTATTAATCCTAAACTATTCGAAAAAGAGTCCGAAATGGAAGAAAGGAAAAGAAAAAAGGAGAAAAAAGAGAGAATCTTTCTAAGGAGGACCAGCCAATACCAAAAAGAGACTGTGATCAGAGAGGATTTTAACAATGTCTAAGCTACCTCCCAAGTGGAGCACTAGAAAAATAATATACTCGCTGTGTTGCTCGCCATTGGGACAGAATGATCGCTCTTTGCACTTTGGTTTCACAAAACTAAAAGAAGAAGAAGCAATAAGTTAAGCAAAGAAATTAGGAGCTACCGCTAATTGGAATCACTGAACTTGGCTGCTTTGTGTGTGCGTCATGGGCCCCTTGCTGCTGTACTGTTGGAACTTCTCTCTCGCGTCCCCCTCGCATATATTAACTCGCCCCCGCCCCTCCGATCCCTTGCCAGTTTCTTCCCTCCTTTCGTCTTGTTTCTTCTTCGCTCGCTTGCTCGCTCGTTTTGATTGAGTGTTTTCGATCTTCTTGCCGGTCTCTCTTTCGACCGGCGACGTTGGTTTTCTCTGGTTTCTTTTGCTAGCAGCAGCAGCAGCAGCAGCTATGGTGACCACGACCTTTGAGGATGTTGAGCTCAATGCCAGCTCCGACCGCCTGTGGAACGCGCTCAAAGATAGCAGCAACTTGTTCCCAAAGATCATCCCGGACAAGATCAAGAGCATCGAGCTGCTGGAAGGAACCGGCGGCACCGGAAGCGTCCGGCTCTTGACATTCGGACCCGGTAAAACAGCACAGCCAACTTATATATCTCTCTCTCTCTCTCGCAGTTGTCTTCTTCCCTCTGTCCAAAGACACTAATAAGAACAAGTAGAGAGAGTAGAAAGAAAGAGAGACTTACAGTAGCGATAGCTTGAATTCCTTTTCTCACACTTTTGTTTTTTTGGCCGCGCTTGTTCCAGCTGCAGCGGCGGTCTTCGGAGCTCCATACGTGAAAGAAAAGGTGGAGTTCGTGGACGAGGAGTCCAAGACCATGACGGTGTCGGCGCTCGAGGGTGGTGCCATCGGCCAGCACTTCACGTCCTTCAAGAGGACCGCGGCGTTCAAGCCAGGCAAGGACGACACCACCACTCTCCTCAGCATCAGCGTCGACTACGAGCCCATCGGCGAGCCACCGCTGGAGCAGATCAAGTCGAGCCTCGTCGACCTCCTCAAGGCAGAGGAGGCTTTCCTCCAGGCCAATGCGGACGCCTACACCGTCTAGCCGAAGTAAGTCCCAAGTCCCCAGAGTCACCACAGTCACCAGAGAGTGTGTTTTGTTTTGTAAAAATTGGCCTTGGCCACTTTTCCTTTCCCATCTTCTTCGGCTTCTTTATTGAAGCAAAGAGAAGCGATGCTGTTGTCCACTTACTCCACCCTGCTGTTGTTCTCGTTTTTCTCTTGGTTTAAATGCGATATAAGTTTTGAGAATGTCTGGGACGATATCTTTAGCCCCGCAGCTTCCCCCGAGAATGAGAGCCAGGCCAGCAGGTATCGGAGGCCACTGCCACTTTCAACTTTGCGGGACACTCGAGGATGCAAATGGATTCCGCTTCTCTCGGTTTCGGAGCTTGCGACGGGGAATATAGAGGTCATTAGGCCACTTGTTCCGCACGGATGCAATGTGAACCACGGACTATGCAAATACGGGTGATCCTGGAATACCGTCAAATCTTAGATGAACTTTGTTCCGGAAAAAAAAAAGAGAGAGAGAGAAAAAAAAACTCTTTTTTTTTCCTTTTATTTACCTCGAGAGTGAGGAATGTCCAACGGTGCCTTTTAAGCTCCTCGCAGGACGAGCGTGGCAGGTCTTTCTGTACTTGCTCCAAATCCAACTGTCTGCCATCTGTATTCTTGCAAAACATAACAGAAGAATAATCATTTCAAAGAAATACTAAAAACACAAGGCAAAAAAGAAAAACGAAATCAGGACAAGGGAAAAAGCTTGCCTGGAAGCCGAACATTGAAAAACAGCCTTGGAACTCCGTATGAATCACTGTAGAGAATATGATATGTGTAGAAATGTATTCGAGGTGCCTCGATGTCAGCCTAAAGGCGCAAAAGTTTAGTCTTTCGACGACAAACCCAAGCGTGTGCTGTGAAAGTACTCACCGTCGCAATGTCGTCACGACAAGCTTCTTTGGTAGTCGGACCATCGTCCTATAGAAACCAAAACAAAAACAGAGAAGCTCCTTTGTTTGGATCCAAGATCTCGCTCGATCTAGCAAGAGTTCGTTACCTCCGGAGCTTCGTCATTGTACTCGCTATCTACGGGAACATCCTCAAGAACAAGATATCCTCCAGCCTGTGACAGCGAAAGTTTAGAAAAACAACATTGAATCAACGTAAACGCTGTGCTATATACCAAAGACAAGGAAAGAATAAGAAGGAAACTCCTTAGAAGAAAGAGAACCACAGTGGTAGATATAGATAAGAAAAACAACGTCTCGAACGGACACACAAAAAGCAGAAAAGAGGAGACGAAAACAATCACAATTCAATCACAGTGGCAAAAAGAGAGGAGACAGGAAAGAGCTCGCAATTTTTCTCTACATCACTGATTGAGAGCACTAGCAAGCGAATTGGCGGGAAAAGACATAAATCTACTGTGCCGACTGTGGAGATCCTCGGAGAAAAAGAACAAAATTACCGAATCGGGTGGTGGCAGCCCATGAGGATGGCGGAAAGATCGCCATTGCCAGAGCGGCATATCAGTGCACGCTTCCCACGCCCGCGCCATCTCCAACGCCGCGCCTCTAAACTCCTCGCCTAGCAGCGCCATGCCCTAGAAAAAGAGGTGGGAGAAAGTAGAATATCCTCTAGGGCAGAATATGCTGTAGGCCTAGGGCTCGAAAAGCCCTATCCCACTTGCCCAAGCGGATCTGCAAAGCTCTTTTATATATAGTGTTGGATGAAGGAAAGCTAATGTCTCTTCGGAGACACCAGATAAAATTGGAACGATACAGAGAAGATTAGCATGGCCCCTGCGCAAGGATGACACGCACAAATCGAGAAATGGTCCAAATTTTTTTCTATCAACGTTTTAATCACACTTTCTTAGAAATCTCCATCAACCATTCTAACTCTTGTCAATTTCTTTTCTGTCAACGACCGTTTTCTAACCATGATTGTTTTTCTTTTTTGTCTAGAAGAAGAAAAAGCATAGACAAAATTCGCATGAAACCCAAATCTTTCTTTTCAAAATTTTTGTATAAAATTTCTCACAAACCCTTTATTGCAATCTCTTTGATTCTCCTCAAGCGTAGAGAGAAGGATTGGCGACGAGGTGCTCCTCCACTTTCTTGAGCGTGGAGAGGCTCTCGGCTTCCTCGGCCGCGTCCTCGCCGACTGGATCGCAGTGGACCTCCCACGAGACGAGGGTGGAGCTCGCGCTCTTGCCCGGCTTGAGACAAGTCACAAGCTTCTTGGAGGTGTATTTCTTGCCCAGCCCTGCGCCCTCCAGCATCTCGGTCACCAGGGTCTTGTTCTTGTGATCGATTTCGACCTTCTCCTTGACGTAGTCTCCAAACTTCTCGGCGATGGCTGAAGAAACAATTCGATCCAACTTGTCTATCATACATGATCATAGACTATTGAGGAGCTTACCAGGCGCGAAGTGGATCGTCACGGTTCCATCCTTCTTGTCGACGCTCTTGATCCCTTCGGGGACGATCTTGCTGAGCAAATGGGGCATGTCTTGCAATGCTCCCCACATCCGGTCGATGGAAACATTCACCTCCACCTGATGGTGCTTCACGTTGGCCATGACTTCCAAAAACTCTTCCTGCCTTCTCACAATGGAAAGGAATGGAAATGGATTGGAGCTGCGAGAATTGCTTGCTCCAACTCGCCTATTTATACGAGCAAAGCTGCGTCTCACGTTTGAACTGCGACTGGTGGATAAAAGATTCAAACGTAGACTTTGAAATGGTGTTAACCAAAAATGAGAGCTCACAGTATTCTTGTAGAAGGGGCCAACAGGAAAGTGTCCAGAAGCAAGCAACACCACCTCTAGAAATTCTTGACTTTGACAAGATAAATTTCAAATCTTTCTGTTGTTTACTACTAAACTGTAAAGCCATACGTTAAACTGGTTCATAGTTTAATAAACCACGTCAACTTTGATGGCTTTATAGAATGGAAGTGATTGTTGTCTAGCATGTTTTAGAAGATTCTAACTATCTACAATTAACATGCTTAGTTTCGGCATTTGCTGCTAATATGTTTACAACAATCCTGATGTTCAAATGACTAGGGCTTTTGGTCAAAGAAAGGATTCGGTTCTTATTCGCCTTCTAGCGACAACTCCTCTCTCATCTATCTCACTATCCTCTTGTCGTTGTGCCATATCCTCGTCACCCTCTCAACCTCGCAAAGTGCCATGAAGCATATTACAAAGAAGGATATATAAAAGATGCCAAAACTCCAGTAATTGATATCCCATTATTCGCAAAGTTAGACAATACAAAATGGAGGTCGGGCGCTGATCGAAGATGACAAACACGGATGTGCTCCAAGAACTCCTTGTCCTTCTTGTCAAAGCATCTCGTCCCAAAAGGAAAGAAAAATCCTCATGTCAAGGCTCCACGAGTTGCAATCCCGTGCCAGCGAAATCTTTGCAAGGCCACACCACATTTTGGGTCCCCCGCGCGTTGTCCTCGCCAAGTCCAAACCCATCCTCGTCACAGCGCATGCCCTTGGGTGGCCCAAAATGGAAGCACGGATCGCTGGACACGGCCACCAGGCACGGATCTTTGGGCCAGTGCGTGAGCCTGTACGGCACCACGCCCGCCAGCCCCTGCGCGGTGTACCCGAACGTGGACATGCCACTCGTCAGCAACACGTCGGCGTGACTCAGCAGCCACATGTCCGCCACGGCCTTCTCCTGGTGGCCCACGTCATCGAGCTGCGCCCCGTCAGCGCGCTGGTGCCCGAGCTTGAACCGGAGACCGCTCGCCGCCAGCGTGGCGTTGATCGCCGCCACGTGTCCGGCGACTATCGTTGCCACATAGACAGAGAACGTATATTCTCCCTTGTTTTGATCCTCCTCCTCGATCGGGCATATTCCTGTTCTCTGCTGGATGCAAAGCGGGACTGTGGTGTCGAAGTAGCTCGTGTATTTTCCCTCGAAGTCGCGGATCTGGACGCCAAAGCTCCTCGTGGCGCCGGCGATTAGGGTTCTATGGAGGCGGGCGATGCGCGGCCACACGGAATCGCTGGGATTCAGGAGGTATCTGCCCAGATCGTGGAAGACACGGCGGGATGGGAAGAGCGCCGCCAGCGCCGGCTGCAATGCGGGATTGAGGAAGAATCCCGGCGCGAAGTACTGGTTGCTGTTCTTGAAGTAGATCACCGGGATGTCGCGGAGGGATCTGGTGGCGGACGGGCAGACGAGGAATTTGTGCTCGGCTGGATCGGTCTTGGATCGGAAGGCGAGAGGGACCGCTCGCGGGAGTGAAGATCGATGGCAATTCGAGGAGTTCTTGGCGCAATTGGAGGAAGATCTAGCGCTAGTCTTGTAGAACGCCGAGAAGCTGGAGGCCTGGCTAGAAGAGGAGTCCATGCCGCGCGGCATCCTCCACGTAGAGCCTGGGAATGGCTCGCAGAAGAGCTTCTCCCAGCCATCGTTGTCCACCAGGAGGACGCGCTGCGAGAGGATGGCGTAGAGGAAGGCCGAGACGAGCGACATGAGGCGATTGCCCAGGCCGAAGGTGCAGCTCCACACGACGTAGCGGCACGCCGGGCGGTACCGCGCGTCGTGCAGCCGGTGGTACTCGGCCCCCACGCACAGGCTGTGCATTTGGGCGTAGCGATCGAGCAGCGCTGCGAGCTCGGGGGATCTCTCGGTGGCGTACCTGTGGAGCGATGGCCCGTTTTCATCCTTGTATTTGCAGCTGCTACTCTTGTTCGTGAAGTTGTATGCAGTGGAGTTGTCGGAATTGGAGATGCTTCGCGATTTGAGGAGGGAGATTTGCTTGCTCGTCGCTGACAGGAGACTGCAAACGCTCCTCTCGGCGGAGTTCTTCGGCAGGGAAGCGCATGGCTGAAAATCCCGGAGGTGTTCCGGGAAGAGTTGCTCGAAGGAATCCTCCAAGTCTGCGCTGGATGTTGATGCTAGCACAGAGAGAACCAAATTTGCGAGAAAAACTTGGAACCAGAGACGCATCATTGGATTGGAATTCTGCTAATGCATGAAGTCGAGATTCGAGGTTACGTGTAGTTTCTACAAGTCATAGTTGAAAATCATGTCATCATTTTGTCAAACTATTAATTGTTTAATTCAACGTTTATTTTAAGAAAATTATACTGTACAAAATGATGTATTTATATTTATTTTAAATAATTCACTAAACTCTTTCTAAGGCTTTGGTGGCGGGTTTGGGGATTGTAAATCTAAAGAGGAAGAAATTAAGGTTATTAGGCTTTGTTATGGCAAGATTTATACAAAAAATTCCTCAACATCATTTAGTTCCTAACTTCAGTAAATTTATTGTTGTCAAAGACAGATTGTTAGTATTTATTTTTGTGATTTGGCTTCCAATCATGTTTATCAACATTAGTATAAAGCTCTATTGCATTAAATGAACCACTGCCACAACATGCTTTTTTTGCATCTTTAAAACTTGAGATCATTGAATTATATCAAAAAGAGAAAAGCAAAAAATCAATCAAGTTTACCATATATGTCAGGGTTGTTCAAGACAATTAAGACAGTAGTTGTTGGGTTCAATGTCACAATGTTTAAAGTGTGGTAGTCATTGTGAATTTTGATTGCAAGATTTTGAATCTAGGCATTATAGTAATTGATAAGAATGTTAATACCACTTATGCAACCCTTTGGAGTTAAGTTTATATTTTCATTTTGTGCTAAAAGAAATCTCAAATTTGGAATGCATCCTAATGGTAATGCCAAAAAGAGGAGGATATATTTAATACCTTAATTATAAATCTCTTGCAAATCTAAACATTACAAATATTCAATCATAACATAACTTAAGATTGCATGAAAGTAAGTATTCAACATCTCTTAAAAGAGTAGTAAGTTTCCAAGTATAACATTAGTTATATCATTCACTCCCATACTAAACATAATTAATGAGTTCTTCAAGAACTCAATAGTAGAGTCTGCTCCTCTAACCCTTTTATACCCATCTATGACATTGCAGAACTGGTGCAGCTATTGCTTCATGGAAACAACTCCCTAATACAAAAGAAGTATTAGTATCTTTTCTACACCATGAGAATCTATATAAAAGTTTACTTGATGAGTATTTGTTTCATCCAACAAACCTGCTCCAGCAGATGCAAAGTTGACACCACTACTAAAGTTGGTTCCAGGTTGGAGGTATGGCAGAAACAACAGAAGCCCAAATGCCTGAGCAAGAAAATCCCCTATTGTGTAACCATGTGTCCAACGACCGTCAAAGTACAATTTCCCATATGGCAGAACAGCACTCATAATCCTAGAGCCCAGAATGTAAGTGTTTTGCCCAGCATCTAGAGCTGAATCTCCAAAGATAAGCAATCCTTGAATAACACCACAATTTTCATTAGAATTGGATCAAGCAGCTTGTGACAATTGAAAGCATACAACTAAAAAGAACACAACAACATTGATGGCTTTCATTTGAACTTGGTGTTTACAGAAATAGGCCATTACAGATGACCAGGCTGGCAAACACTTTAGTATTTAAGGAAGCATAGTTTGTGTTTTCTGAACCTAACGGGTTAAAATGCAATGCATTTTACTGAATAAATATAATATATTGATATATCACAAAACCCTAATTTAAAAAAAATCCAATTTTTTAGTAAGCATTTCGTTTATCTAAATAAAAGTTAAAATATTATGATCTCGCGGAGTTCCTCTTTTTAATCGCCACAAGCTTGTCGGAGACCACCCATGGAAAACTCAGGAGATCACTCTTCTTCCTGGCTTCCGGATGATAAGTTACGTGATACCACGCAAAAGCCTTGGCACAGGCCTCGTTCTCAGTGATCTCGCCACCATCGTCAAACCATCCCCGAGCTTCCTTCACCAGAGCCTTGGCAGCCAGCACCACTCGAGCCATGGCGTCGCCCTGCCTCCTCCTCGAGTACCTCGCCAAACTCCGGACGCTTCCACTCATAATCTCGGCCTCGCTAACTTTGTAGTGATTGAGAATGCTCGTCAGCTTGCTGTCGTAGCACTCCTTGAAGAACTTTGCCTCTTCCAGGTGACTCTGGTACCCCTGGACGACGAGCGCCCGATCGTATTGCTGGTCGAATGAACGCTCGGACACCAGAGGGCTCGTGTTGGTGTCCCTGTGGCTTTCTCGGATGGATCTGTAGAGCTTTCCGATAACGCGTGTGGATATGTATGTCCTCTTGTTCCGTTTCTCCATGAAGTCGGGATACTGCTCGGGCCGAAGCTCCGGTGGCATAACGGCTGGAACTCCGGTCTTTGGGAAATCGACTGCTACCGAGTAGAGCCTCGCCAGCTCCATGCACTTTGGATCGCGGGCTTGCAAGTCTGACCAGTCCGAGAGAGCGAGGTGGGCGTGTGCTATCACTCCGAGGCTGTCGCTCGTTATCCAGTTCACAAAAAACTCTTGAATCTCCTGAGAACGTAAACCACGGGATAGACTGCTGGACAAACATTTTTCCAGCAAAATTACCTCAAGCCTTACGGAGTGATCCAGTTCCACGGCAGGCGGGGCTTCGTAATTCATCGGTGGATGTCGCTTTGGAGGGATAAGTGCGCTATCCCAGCTCACGAAGTACTGGTCGCCGTCGAGATCACTTCCCGAGCACTCGTTTGGATGGGGCCTGTAAAAGTAGCACACAGAGAACTGATATGACAACAGAAACGAGAACTGACCGTGGTCCTTGTTGAGGGAAAACAATGCAATCGACCATGTGGTGAAGCTCCGGAACATCAACCGCTTCGAGTACTAGCACGTCTCCTGGATGAAGGCATGGATTCTTTGCGACCACCACAGATCCTGTCACCACAAAAGCTTGGTTCCTGGCAGTAACTCCCCTGTCACAGTGAATCTCTTCTTCCACCGGCACACCCTGTAGTGGCGAGACTTGCACAAAGCACTGTCCATACCGAAGCACTCGCTGCTCGTCCAAGCACCCCATAAGTAGCCTTCCTTTTGGAACGAAGATACGAGACTTCTTCTCGAGAGATAGCAGCTGCGCCGCTCTGAAAGCTTGTAGCAAGCTTCTCATGTAAGGCTCAGTGACCGGACTGAAACCAGCGAGCACCATTGAGACCAGCAGCTTGTGGCACTCTCCAGCGTATAAAACTCTGAGAACGTCGTAAGTAGCTGCCGAGTCCAGCAGCATCCTGTCGAGAAGCTCTACTTGGTGCGCTTGCATTCGCTCAAAGACTCCGTCAGGGACTTCCAGTGTCGAAAGCAGGGAGATAATCTCGCGGTTTAGATAGGACGGAATGTAGCGCGTCTTCTCCAGAACGTCCAGAGTAGTTTGCTCGGACGGAAACTTGGACATACTTGGTCGTAGCGATAACTTGAAACAAGAGGCCGGATCCACAGCGACAACGCCTTTGTAGCCTCCATACCTGATCTGGAATGCCGAAGGGACGGTGCTTGCACGACATCTTCTCGCGACTCGAGTCGCAAACTCTCTCGAGATGGTCCCTATCCCGTCCGAGAAGCAATACTTATGACCGTCCATGGTGAAGGTTTCTACGTCGCTTAGCTGACGGACTTCTCCCCGAGGCACGTCCAAAGTACGAGTTGAAGTAGAGAAGCTCTGGCCCATCCTTGCTGCGCACTTTGCCACGTTTCTGATCGAGAGGAAGTCACCCATCCATTGCCTAATGTACTCGCCGGTAACCTCGTCGTCGTCCGCAAACATCCAGAGCGAATTCTCACGCAACTGGCTCGCTGAAAAGGCCAGAAACTGGAAGTCTTTGCCGCAGAGCTTTATGCCGAGCCGTAGGATAGCCAGCAGCCGATAGTAGACTTCAGTCTTCGTCCTTCCCCTGCTCGAGCTGAGAACATAAGAGTTGAGCGAATCAAAGTCCTCGTCGACGAAAGTGACGCGGAGAAAGTTGTCGAGCTTGTGAGAAAAATGCCTTGTCACGCGATTCGACTCCTCGAGCTCAGGTCCGAGGAAGTAGACTTTGAGAGGAGTGACGAGCAAACGCTTGACATATATCTGGCTTTCATCCGCGGCTACAGCCCCAAGATACCTCTCGCGTCTTCTGTTGCTGGTCCTCATATAGTTTCGGATCTGACTTGCGGGATTTAGGCACGTTTTTTCGCACCTTTCGAGATTGCTCAAAGCCGAGAGGCACCATGCTGGCGTGTTCTCGGATAGCAAGCCGAAGAACTCACGTGTAAGACCTGCTGGACTGACGTGGCCATTTTGGATCAAATAGTTTACCTTGAACTCCACCTCCAAAGGAAGATCAAATCCACAGGTCGAGCTGAGAACCGGCACGGCTAGCTGACGGACTGAAAAAGGCTGGCCTCTCCTCAACACCATTCGTCTGAAGCGAGGAGGATAGTCGCCCAAGTTGTAGTCATTAAACTTCTGGATGATCTTGCGTAGCTCGTCTTGGGAAGAATCCGGGAGCTCGAGGCAGAACACCACCGACTGGCCAAGTGCACTGTCAGGAGTAAAATCGGTGGCACGAGCCCAGAGATAGTCGTCGCAGATATCTGCTCTGGAGTATGAGAAAATGCTGCAGGAGTTTTCGAGTCGCTTGTAGACGCGAGGAGGATAATAGAGCTGGAAAGAAAAAGTGAAAGACAGCGAAGAAAATCTTTGAGTCGAAGTTAGAAAGATTACCTGGAACACGAGGCCTGGAGAATTCTCGGGAGAGATCTTACAGCTCTCGAGCGAGGCAATGCTGCTTGATATGATCTCCATTTTGTAGTCGCCGTCGACAAGAAGCTCCACCTTGACAGGGTCCGAGAAGAAAAACTCGGCCTTGGCTTGGGACGAGCACCACAGATACTCCACCGTTTGATCCTCGGCCAAATTCCCACAGTAGAGCTTCGCGCTCCCTGCCCGGGCATTTGGATGCTGCGGGTTGTGCTGGACCCTGTTGCTTACATTGGCCACGAGTTTTCTTCCAGCGAATCGCAGGCCCAGCCCAGCTCTATGCAGCACCACCGCGGCGTGTTCCGTCGAAAGCTTGACGATCGCCCGGCCTTTGGAGCGGCCATTGTCGTTGCTGAGCAGCTCGCAAGAAATCACACTCTCGCGCCCGACCACGCCCTCAAGAAATTCCACGAATTGCTCGACGCTTGCCTGGTAGCTGATATTCCGCACGAAGAGCTCCACATATCCGCCGCTCTCGGGCGCCTCCATCTCCATCTCCTAACCAGAGAGGGCAATCACCTGATCAAGAACCCTAGGCAATTCTCGTAGCTACAAGGGCGCGAGCCAAAACTTTCAAGCAAAGAAAAGGATCTATGAGTCTGATTCTTCTCGCATTTGTTATGGGGAAGCACAGCACGAAAGTTTTAAATCACATTCTAATCACGACATCCTGGCCGTTGGTTTCTGAAACGTGGCAGAATCACCACCGTCGAGACTCCCAGGCTCGAGGACCAACAGTAGTACGGAGCTTTCGCGTCTTTTGACACCCATCGTCTCAGTCCAGCTCGAGCGAGAAATCGAAACCGTTGCCAAAAGAATGACTTCGATCATTCAATCCTCCTCCATTCAATCCTCCATTCAAACCAAGGCCCAGGCCTTGGTTTGATCTATCACAAGCTAGAGCAAAGATCAAGAGAAAAAAAACAAGAGCTCCAAAAGCTTACCACCATCGCTCAGTAAAGATTGAGGACGTCGCTTATCTCCTTGTTGCAAAGTGGACAGCTCCCTCTTGCTTGCTGGAGCTCTTTACAACACCTCCTACAAAAGGTATGGCCGCACGGTATGAAGGCCGCCCCCTTTTGGCGTCCCATACAAACGCAGCACGTCTGTTCCATCGTTATCCCGTCCCCTGTTACTACGTTTGATCCTCCTCCTCCTGTAAGTCCTGTGGCTTCCTTGGCCGGGGACTCGAAAGCTACGCCGCCAGCACCGCCACCGCCACCGCCACCACTGTTCCTGTCTATCATTTGCCTGTTCATGAAGATGATCCCGCTTCCTCCCTCCTCGGCCTCCCGGAGCAAGGACATGAGAGACACCCGCATTGGAGTCTCGGGAACTGTGGCGGTACTAGCGTCTCGAGAACTCGGCGTGGAAGTCATGAACGAACTTAAACTCCGAGTGGGAGCTGCCGCTGCCGCCGCCGCCGCTGCTGCTGCTGCTGCTGCTTCCGGTGGAGCGTCCAGTGATGCGCTCGGGCGGTGGAAGCCGACCCTGTTCAGCTCGCTGGCCACGGACTGGCTCCTCGAGTGGTCGAAGTGGATCGGAGCAGTGACGCCAAATGCGACCCATCCCTCCGTCAGCCCCTGATCCGGACCATCTAAGTTGCGCTCCTCCCAGAGCAGTGCACTGAGAAGTCTTCTTCCACTGGTCGTGTTTTGATTTCCCGACAGCGGCTGTGCGGCTAAAGAAGCCCCTTCTCCTCCGGCGACTTCTGGATTGGACTGCTGCTGGATCTCGGTCGTGGATGCCGGCCTCACTAAAGTCAGCACGGCTTGGATCACCGGAGGAGCATCTGCTGCTGTTGCTGCTGGTACAATCTCCGAGTTCCCGGAGCAATTCTCTCTCGGTACTGCGGTGGACGTTTCTTGCGGCAGTAATGGCTGCTGTTGACTACTCGCCTCTATATCCGCTAGTAACAATCTCTCCCTTAGCGTAATCTTTCTGTGAGTACCTGTTGCTCTGCCTTCTCGGAGTAACCTCTGCAGGACGCCTTCCGCATCTGAGCATAGATCGTCGAGCTGATCGCCAAATTCCGTTCTTGCCGAGGCAATGACCGCAGCTAGTCTTTCCACGCTAGAATCTCGCATAGCTTTCCACAGATCCATCCGCTTCTTTTCTTCATCTCGCTTTCTCTTGGAGGACATAAAGCCCAGGAACTTTCTCGCAAAGTTTCGCCCCCTGGCCTGTCTTTCCTCCATCACTCACGAGTCCTCGCCTGCTTTTCTTCTCCTAGGGCGACTAGAATCGTTGCTGCCAGAGTTTGATGAGCGTCCACAATGCATTGGTGCTGTCTTGTCAGAAGGTCCTACCAATCTCCAAAATATATGCGCCTGCAACACGGCACTAATGCATTAGGACACATGAACTGAACGAAGAAAAAAAAAACCAGAGTGATATACACGGAGAAAAAAAAAAGAAACGAAAAAAGCCAAAGTCGCTTGCTTCGCTAAGCACTTAACAACAGGAAAAACAATCGACAAGTCAAGCCATCACAGCAACAGAAGAAGAAGCAAAGAATCCATGAACCATGGAAGAAAGAAAGATCAAAAGATCATCGAGCTATGGTTTTGTCCTAATGAACAGCAAGTCAGCAACTTGGCACCGAAGCATGACAAGACGACTGCAAAAGACGAAAAATCTTGTCCTGTGCAAGCTATGAATCACACAATACCACGACTCACGAGAAGAGAAAAAAAAAAATTTGTCCAATACGTGACACAAAGAAAGCAAGAAATCATCCAATAGGCATCGTTTGCGGAGGAATGGAATCTCTCACCTCGATGGAGCTGCAATCGCAAGTTGCGGATCAAGAACCGAGCATCGCAAAGAACCTAAGATTCCATCGAGACACCCAGAGAATCCTGTCAGATTACTACAGAATCTTCCCAGAGATTGCCAGAGAATGCAGCGAAGCGCCGAGCTCGCCATCCGTACCTGAGCGAATCAATCGATCCATGGGGGATGCGCTGTTCTTGCCCCGTCGCCTCCCGGAACCCTAGAAGCATGGCGGAAGAGAGAAGAAAGGCCCCCCGGGGCGTCAAATCCAAGACGAAAAGAACGGCCGGCCAAAGTCTCTCAACAGTGGTATCCAACGTGCTTGACACGTCAGCACTCCACGCCGGATGCCACATGGAGTCTGGTTTACCGTTAGGAGTTGGCGTCGGGTTCGAATCTTTTCCCAATCAAACATTAATGTTTACAATATGATATTGATAGATATTATCTCCACAGTGACAGTTGATGGTTCTTAAACTTCACTATCTTTACTATATTTTTAGAACTTTGTAGAGCGTGGTGGTAAGATGAAGGTCACACCCATATGGATTGCTCTAATTTTCATGGCATATTCTAATGTAAAATTCAGACTTTGTCAACCTTGTGTTAATTATCTTTCGTCAATCAAGTTTGAGATTTAAGAATCTTCCTTTTGTAACAGTTATGAAACCTGGGTACCCTAGTCACTCCATCAAGCTCCATGGACATGAGCTCTATCTACATTGGTGCTCTGTGGGGAATTCCCTTCCTCCTATGGACCCTTTTGCGGCAAGGCGTGGGTGGATGTATGTGCCAGAAAAGAGAGCATTAGAATCAAAGAACCGAGCAACATCGGATCAACTAAGAAGAATGCCGTCCAAAGAATCCATCTATCTAAAGGCCGAAAGAGGGGAAGAAACATAGCAAGATCAAACGCTATCTCAGGCCAAAGAGAAAGAAGAAGGAAAGAAATCTAGACATGAAGAACGACAGTAGTCTGGAGAAAGTGCTAAGGGGAAATCGAAGGAATACCTTGCAGGTAATCGAGCAGAACTTAGCTTCTGCCGACAGATAGCTCTTCCCACAGCCAAGACAAGGCTTTTTCCAACCGCGAGTGCTCCTGGCCTCTCCATCTGATCTGGGTTTGCCGCGGAGAAAGATGATCGGCTTGTGGTTGTTTGTATACGTTTGGATTCCCCTCGTTTCGAGGTGATCGCCCGCGTCATTAAGGTCTACACAATCGCGATGCGACGCCCGGCGCACCTGGATCGCAAGAAAAAACCATCAGCTCCTGGCGAGCGAAAGAAAAAAAAACAAAACTCGAACCTGGATGAACCGATGCTCCATCGCGTGGGCGCAGCGGCACGAATCGCACATTTCCCGAGAGCAGTCGATGCAGAAATATCTTGTCCACCCGCACCGGGAGCACGAACAGGCATCGAAGTAGGCGGTGCACGCGAAATCGTGGATCCAAGAAGGAATTTCGCAGCGCCGCGGCTGTTCCGGATCATTCCCGAGCCGCAGCTCTGGCCAATCGAACCCTCGCGCGAGTTCTTCCCGTGGCGCGAGTGCTGTCATGCAGTGGGGAATGAGCTTTCGCGAAACGAACGAAGATGCCACGTGGCAGGAGTTTTAGGGTTCTAGCGCATTTTAAATTTAGGGTTCCAGCGAAACTCCTTAAACCATTTTATTTTTTTCCTTTTAGGGCAGCTAGGGCGCACAGAAATGGAGGACGCGGAGGAGGTATGCGTGTGCTCGATCGTACCGAAGTGCTCACATTGTTTGCGATTAGCTCGACGGATTCAAGGACTTCACTGTGTCGTCGTCGTGGGAGAGGTTTGGTCGAGGATTCTTGTAGGGCTGTTGATGATTTCGCTGTGTGCGTGTAGATTCATCGCAGCTGTGGAGTCGGCGTGCCTGGAGTGGCAGAACGCTGGAAAGAATGCATTGCTGGTAGGAATTTCGTCGATGAAGCTGGAATTTTTTCCCTTTTACTTCGTATGAAAACCAGGATGCTGGAGCTAAGCGTGTGGAGGATCTTTTGGATTTATACTCTGTGCACACGGAAATTTCACAGGGACAGAAAAACTATCGCCTCGAGTTCTTCTTCGGTGAAAGAAGTAGTAGACATGGAGCGGAAGACTGGCAAGAGGGCTTACATCATTTGCAGCTCTGGTTTGGAGTGCACGATTTTGTGGTGAGTGTGTTCTTTCACGCATTGAAACTTCATTCCTTGGTTGCTTTTTTTTCCAGCTGATCGCGCCGGTCAGTTTGAGTGGCGTTCTTCTTGATGCTCCGGAGGCAACCATGCTGCTGAGCACAGTCTCGATTGCATTATCAAACTGTGGAAGGTCTGTCGCTCTTTACTTTTTGTTGTTCGTTCGGTTGATTATGCTCTGTGTTTTCAGCTCGTGGCCTGTTTTTGTACCCGTGCACGATCCAACCCGGAAAGCGTACATGGGAATCGAAAGCTTGGAAGGCCTTTCGTCGATAAAATTTGAAGCTGACAGGATTGGGAGACAGGTACCAATAAAGCTAATGCACCTGGAGGGACTGTACGACTTGTTCATGTCCAAACTGGTATGCTTGCTTTTGCGCATGTTTAGTGTTTCAATTCAAGTTTTTCATCTTCTGTAGCGTTGATTATTGAAGGGTGCTGTAGAAGACGTACCGGGGCTGGGATTCACCATGAGACTAACATATGCAACTTCGCATTATTTATTCGAACACGGACCACTCGCAGGAGAACAAGGAGACGGCCAAGACAGTGAAATGGTCGACACATCCCTGTGGGATGATAACTTTCAGTGGGCCGAGTGGCACTCCGTGGAAGATCCTGTAAAAGGCATGAAAATTTCCGTCATCGCTGTCGCTATAATTTGGTGTCTTCTATGCAGGTTTCGAGCTGATTGCTGTTTGGAGAAGCAGGTATGTGTCGAACTCTTTCGAGATGGCGGAGTTTGAGAATGCCTCTACATTCGATGCAGACCGCTGGATGCTAAGACCGCTTCTTACTCGGTACGTGAGACTTACAAACGAGTTGACTTCTCTGAAATCCACGTTACAGACACGAGAATGGAGATGAAGCATCTGGTTTCACTGGGAGATTGAGACGACTAGTTAAGGCATTTGTTTTCTCGAAAGAAACGGAATTTATGGAAGATTTTGTAAATGGTAAGCTCGTTTTTTTCTACCAGCTGTATGGAGAAAAAGCTAATTACCCTCTATCCAGTGACTAAGCCTGAGCTAGAAAAGAATGTACAGTCTTGCAAGGTACCTCCGACTACTGTTCTAGATCGAATTTTGAAAGACATATTTTTCCAAGGTAGATCTTACAGTTTGAAAGCGACTTTCTGAAAAACTTTTTTGGTCTTATACCAGCGCCTAAGGCTTTTGGATACGCCAATGAAAGTGCTCGTATGATCAAAGCAGCACCACCGGATTCGCTGTTTGGTCGTTTTTGTCTACATGTGTTATGGTTTGGCGATTGCAACATCCGAGCTATTGCTCAACTCTGGATTGAGTTTTTACGAGAAGTGAATTGGTGTTGGGAGGAGCGGCAACTGTTGCCAAGAACTTTAGCTGACGAAACTCCGGATTTCTCGACTTGCTTAAGCCAACAGAAGCTGCAGATGGTAAGCTCATGAACTTTTTTCTTCCAAGTGTTAATCTTGTCCTTAACATTTTAGCTCGCAACGTGTATCAAACTAAGAAAAGCTTCTGATGACGCTAAGGGAGAAACATCAGCTAGAAAGGTGAGGCTGTGTCAGCACATCCTTGAACAATGTCTCTCTAACGCAATTGCATTGTAGGAGACGGGAAGTAGTGATGCAGAGCTATCCTCGAGCTCAAAAAAGACCAAATTATCCAGCGTAGATGACAACATGAATATAGACTTGTTCTTTAATAACGAACACAGGAAAGGCTCAGCGGGACCGTTTGGCAATTCAGTTTTGTCAAGCTCGAATAAGCCTCTCCATGTGCCTATGACCCAGGTAAGTGCCACACACGTTGTTTTCCAGGGACTTATGTTATTTTCTGCTGCTAGACTCCGCCAATTATGACTGAGGACATGTTAGAGGAACGGGAACACGCACTGGTAGCTCTAGAGAACTCTCCTAGTGTAAGTATAATGAAGTTTTAGTGTTTCAAGTGCTCAGGTTGGAACTCACACAGGGTAAAGCTGCCCGAATTCGCTTACAAAGTGATATTCTAGCTTCAGGTGTGCTTGCTCTTTTTTGTTGCAGACTGCATTCTCATTGTATTGTGAATGATCAGATATGGCTGCTTTTAAGGCGGCAAATCCAGGTGCTGTGCTAGAAGACTTTGTAAGGTGGCACTCTCCTCGAGATTGGATTGAAGACGACGGCTCGGATTCAAAGACTAAGAAAGCAAAAGGAAAGCTTTCGAGACGAATGGGAGAACCGGGTAATGTATGGGCGCAAATATGGGAAACTGCAGAGCCAACTCCTGCCTCGGAGCAAAGGCCAATTTTTGACTTCACAAGGGAGGGAGAGAAGGTAACTATCTTACCGTTCGCTTTTGAGCTTTTTACCCACAGTTTTTCTGTTTCTTCAGGTTCTTCATTACCTTGAAACGCTGAAGCCTCATCAGCTTTTAGCACAGATTGTATCCACTGCTTTCGTCGCTGCCACGGACGTGCTGTGGAGAACTCCCGGATGCAAACTCCAGCCTGTGGTTGAACGTTTTGACGAGTTCTACGCGATAATGGCAGCGGCCTTAGCACCTCTCGGAAGCCTTTCCATCCAAGGTAGAGTCTTCTTATGAATGTTTCCACTAGACAGCTCAGTGTTCTCTGTTTTGTTTTCTAGACAAGGACGCGCAGCACCACATGAGCGAATGGGAGCGAGACTTAAAGCAACTGTGTGCTGCGTTCGAGAAACTCGAGGATGCGGTTGCGGAAGCTGCGTCGTTGCGTCAAAAGCTACCAGAGGCGTCGGAGTCGCTGCTGAGTTCGATCTTTCGCTGCACAGAGGTAGACAAACAAACGCAAATCCGAAGCTATGTTCTTGTCAAAGTTCTCAGCTGACCATTGTTTTCCTTTGCCAGGGAGTAGCATCATCATCAGCGCCCTTGCTCTCATACAGGGACCGAGAGATGGTAGCGGAAAAGCTGTTTAGCTCGCAGAGCGTGAGCGAGACGTGGGAGGAGAGCTTGCGAATGGGCAACTTCTTAAACGGGCACGAGCCCCTCTACAGGGACGTGCTCTTGACTTGCTACGAGAAGGAAGCTGTCTATGGCGGCGGCGGTGGCGGTGGCAGCAAGAACAAGACCAAGAGGAG